AGTGATTTACTTTCTCCAACCTCTCCCTACTGGCTTATAATTACCACCCAGTTAATCCATTCAAGTGGATTAACCCACCATTCAGTTATTGCTCTCATAACCCAATCATCTCACCTCTCAACATTCTTGCATTGTCTCACACATGTGGGCTTTTTGGGGGATACCTCACATCTAAGTATAACAACGATGCAAAGGGGAATTTTAGTGCAGGAAACCTTTCCAGTTACACTGCATGGTAAGTACAAGACAATAAGTATTTGTCAAAACTAATAGCTCTTTGGGCTGGGGATGTGGCTCAAGCGGTAGCGCAATCGCCTGGCATGCGTGCGGCCGGGTTCGATCCTCAGCACCATATACAAACAAAGATGTTGTGTCTGCTGAGAATTAAAAAATAAATATTAAAAAAATTCTTTCTCTCTTGCTCTCTCCCTCTCTCACTCTCTCTTAAAAAAAAAAAGACTAATAGCTCTTTATAGAACAAATGGTAAATCTTAAGAAATGTAATATTATAAACACCTTGATGGATGTTGAGGTGTTTTGGGGTGAAAAATACAAAAATGCAAGCAAAAAACTCAATGCAACAAATGTACACATTAATCTTATTTAAGGGATTTTATATAAGGAAGTTGGGAAATCGGTGGAATCTAATTTTCAATAGAAATAATAATTTTGATTCTGCTATTCATGTAGTAGAATAAGAAAAATAAAATGGTTGACATTTTTTAGGAGCCAGGGTTTCATTTTTGGTGTAGATGTTATAGTTCATCAGGGAAACAAAGCTAGAATGATTACTTTGCTTTGAAATTCACTTACTTTCCTTGATCAAAAGGTTTTATAAGAATTCTTATTTCTGGGCTGGAGCCATGGCTTAGTGGTAGAGTGCTTGCCTCACATGCGTGAGGCACTGGGTTTGATCCTCAGAAGCACATAAAAATAAAATAATAAAATAAAGATGTTGTGCCCACCTATAAATAAAAAGTAAATATTAAAAAAAAGAACTCTTATTTCTTGGTGCTGGGGTTGTCGATCAGTGGTAGAGTGCTTGCCTAGCATGTGTAAGGCACTGGGTTTGATTCTCAGCACCACATTAAATTAAGTAAATAAAATAAAGGTCCATCAACAAAACAAAAATATATTAAAAAATTCTTATTTTCTTGTGACCCTTTAACCTGAGGTGACTCATTTCAAAACAAATATATTGGTAGAGCCTTTGAATAGGTTGTGCAATGCCCTAGATTATTTCTCCAGTATTAAAAAACAAATAAACAAAACCAAACAAGATGAAAAAGGATTATAAGCTGCTGTTGATATACAATACTTTGTGTAGTTTAGAATTTCACTACAGTTGGTTTCAGAAGAAATACAAAAAAGTAGTAAAATTATAAGAATGTCTTTCTAAAAAATTAGATGTTTCTGAGAGGGGTAGCCTGTGACCCAAGATACTTTGAAAGCTGAGACAGGAGGACTGCTTGCGCCCAGGAACTCAAGGTAAGCCTAGGAAATATAGCTGTGACCCTTTTAAGACATAAAAAAGAAAGCAAGAATGAAAAATCTTGAATGAAAGCAAGAAAGATCTTTGTTTTATTTTTTATTTTAAGACACAGTCTTGCTAAGTTAATGAGGCTGGTCTGGAAATCCAATCCCTTTTTACTTAGCCTCCTGAATTATTGGAAATTTTTTTTTTAATATAGATTAATTTACCATTGGTCCATGTCATTTTTTTAATGTCAGTACTGTGCTATTTGTGTTGCATTTTGTTGTTTCTATATTGAAATTCAAAATTGGGTATTGTGGTTGCTCTTTTTTGCTTAAAATTACTTTGGTTATTCTTGTATCTTTGTTCTCCCATATTAATTTTAGGATTGATTTTTCTGGTTCTTTGAGGAATATCATTGGTATTTTGATGAAGATTAAAAAATATCTATAAATTTCTTTTGGTAATATGACCATTTTAATGATATGAATTCTGCCATCCATGAACATGAAAGGATATTCTATCTTCTAGTGTCTTCTTCAATTTCTTTCTTCAGTGTTCTATAATTTTCATTGTAGAGGTGTTTTTCCTCCTTGGATAGATTGACTCCTAGGAATTTTGTTATTTTTGAGACTTGTGAATAGGATTATTTTCCAGATTCTTTTTGAGTGGATTCATTATTGGTGTACAAACATGAAGATTGTGAAATAGGTGCCTCAGAGGCAAACAGTTATCAATGCCCTAAGAAATAAGTCAAGAACCTGATTTAGGAACATGCCTTGATTTTTTGTTTCTATACTGCTCTTACAAGCAGTTTTCAAATTTCATATATTCTCTAAATAGCACAGAGCCTGATGGGATGAAATGAAGAACGTGATATTAGTGCATCAATGGGAGACAATGTCCAATACCTGCTCTGTAAATTAAGAACCAGGATTTTTTTGGGGGAACATCTCTGGCACTTAGATTTCACGGTTGCTCTTACAATCCTTTTCAAATTGCATGTATTTAGAGCTAATGAGCAATGACCCTGAGGGTTAAAGGGAAGAATGTGAACCTGTTTCTCCAATGGAGCAAAAATTTCAACGCCCACTCTGTGAAATAGGTAAAAACTTTCCTTTAGGACATTTCTGGCACTTGCATTTCACTTTTGCTCTTATAATCATTTTCCAATTGCAAAATAATTAGCACTAATCTGAATGAGCTGAAATTTAAAAAAATAGATGAGTTTGTTGATTCAAAGGGAGTGTGATTTAAGCAATAACCTACTGTTTGAATCTTTGTGCCATTTACATTTCACTGCTGCTCTTCCAAGTGATTTTCAAATTTCATGTGTTCAGCTATAATAAGTACTAAGCCTGAATGGGTAAAATGATTTAAACCTGGTGCTTCAAAAGGGGACAAATCCAAATACCTGCCTCTAAATTAAATAAAAACCTGCCTCTGCAAACTTTCTTTCTGGAACTTACATTTCACTGCTAGTCTTACAAGTTGTATTCAAATTGCACATATTTGCCTGTAGTGAGCACAATTCTAATGGGCTTAAATGAAGAATCTAAACCTCGTGCTTCAACAGGGAGAATTTTCCAATGCCCTCTGTGAATTAACTAAAAACCTGGATATGGAACAACCTGGAAAGTTGTGTTTCACAACTGATCTGCAAGCCATTTTGAATTGTCCAATTTCACCAAAAATGAGCAATAGCCAAAACAGTCTGAAAGAAAGTATGAACCTGATTCTTCATTGGGCGACAATGCTCAATGCTTTCTCTGTGTATAATGAAAGACTTTGCCTCTGGAACATTCCTGGCCACTGCATTTTACCCCTGTTCTTAAAATCCTTTTTAAAATTATGCATATTCAGCAATAATGGAATAATAAAGAATGTGAACCTGGTGCTGCAACAGGGAACAATTCTCAATACTTTCTAGGCGAATTAAATCTAAAGCACCCTATGGAACCTCCTATTCACTAGTGTTTCAAAGCTGCTCCTAGAAACTTCTTTAAATTGCAAATATTGGGGTGGGAATATAGCTCAGTTGGTAGAGTGCTTGCCTTGCATTGCACATGGCCTGGGTTCAATCCTCAGCACTGCAAAAAAAAAAAAATCAAATATTGTACCATAATAAGGGCAAGACCTAATGGGCCAAAATGAAGAATGTGCACCTGTTGCTGGAATGAAGGTGACATTAATTCCCTGCTCTCTGTATTAAATAAAACCTACCCAATAATTAATGTCACCAATGGGAATTAAGTGAGAACCTGTCTCTGGAGCCTCACTGCCTATTGGTTTCACCATTCTTCCCACAAGCTGCTTACAATTTTCATGTATTTGGCCATAATGAGCACTGCTCCTTATAGGTCGAATTCAAGAATGTGAATTTAAGAATGTTCCTTGATGCTGCACAGGGCCTTGTGCTGAAACTTGGAATGGTGAATGCCTTCTTTGAGAATTAAATAAGAACCTGCCATTTACTTTCACTGCTGTTCCTACAATCTGTTTTCATATTTCAAATATTTACCCATTACTGGGCCCAAATGAAGAATGTGAACCAAGTGCTACAAGGGAAGAGAATTCTTAATTCCTCATTGTGAGTGAGCATTGAAGCTGCCGCTAGAACCTCTCTGCATTAACTAGCATTACACTTTTGCTTCTGCAAGATGTTTTGAAATTGCACATATTTGGCCACAATGAGTGGCCTAAATGGGCTGAAATTAAGAATGTGAATGTTGTGCTGGAACCTGGGTCAATTTCCAATCCCTTTGTTGTAAATTAAGTGAGAATTTGCTACTGAACTTCCTCGCCATTTGTGTTTCACTGATGATCCAACAAATCTTCTTCAAATTGCATATATTCAGCCATAATGAGCACTTGCCCTCTGTTAGAGTCTGTAAACAAGTCAGGATGGCGCCTGGCATTTTGCCAGGGGGAGTGGTTTGTGAGGTGGCGTCAGGGAGCCATTAAGTGTGGAGATTTCTTATTGGTTGACTGCTGTATCTAGTTTATGTTAATTAAGATAAGCTGTGTGGAATGTATAAATACCCCTCCGGTCCTACAATAAACGGCTTCCACTCCTGCTGTATCAATGTACACAAGTTGCTCGTCACCCCCCCCCCCCCGGTTATTTTGCTGCAGCTGGACTGCGGCAGATGGTTGCCCATTATGGGGAGCCCCGGGACACTCGGGGGTAAGTGACGAAAAAAAGCTGCCCGTCCATAGATAGGACGGGAGCAAATCTGCTTGTCCCTAGATAGGGCGAGAGGGAAAATGGCAATTTTGAGAAAATGGAGAAGATTGATACAGTGTGTTTGTGTCTTGTTTTGTCTTGAAATGTTGTATTGTCTTTGTGACGAAAATATGGAAAGGGTGTTAAGTAAATTACTAAGAGAAGAAGGCACCCCAGTGGAACCAAGAGCAGTTAGGGCATGTATTGATGGAAGCCCAGGAACTCTAGTCAGAAAGAAAATTCAGAAGAAGAAGGATTATCAGGAAAAAAGTTCCAGCAAAAGGCTATTACTGGGCATGCTGATATGGCTGCGCCAATACTGAGGGGCGTCCGGGAGCTGCTGAAGCATGCGAACTTCGCGCCGGTCCCGAGAAGACATCGACATAAGAAGAAGTGGGCAGCAACAGAGCCCAAATTCCCTGCCAGCCAGCTTGCTCTGCAGAATTTTGACATGACCTACAGTGTGCAGTTTGGGGATCTTTGGCCATCGATTCGTGTCAGTCTTCTCTCAGAACAGAAGTATGGTGCACTTGTCAATAATTTTGCTGCTTGGGACCATGTGAGTGCTAAGCTGGAGCAGCTGAGTGCCAGGGACTTTGTGAGTGATGCCATCTCCTGCTGGGAATTGGAGCCTGAGAATGGCCACTCTGCAACCCTGTCCCCAGCCTGCAGTCCAAATCTTCGATGCTTCACTTTTGCCAGAGGAGATGTCAGCCACTTCCCTTCTGCCAGGCTTGGCAGTCTGAGTGTCATGGACTACTACCTGATGGATGCTGCCTCCTTGCTGCCTGTCCTGGCTCTTGGTCTACAGCCTGGGGACATTGTTCTTGACTTATGCGCAGCTCCTGGAGGAAAGACACTGGCATTGCTTCAGACTGGCTGTTGCCGCAACCTCGCTGCCAATGATCTCTCTACTGCCCGAACGAGCAGACTACAGAAGGTCCTTCATAGCTATGTGCCTCAAGATATCAGGGAAGGAAACCGAGTTCGAGTCACTTCATGGGATGGCAGGAAGTGGGGAGAACTGGAGGGGGACACCTATGACGGGGTGCTGGTGGATGTACCCTGTACCACAGACCGCCACTCCCTTCATGAAGAAGAGAACAACATTTTCCAACGGTCAAGGAAGAAGGAGCGACAGATGTTGCCTATGCTGCAGGTGCAGCTTCTTGCGGCTGGACTCCTTGCCACCAAACCGGGAGGCCATGTTGTCTATTCTACCTGCTCCCTCTCACACTTACAGAATGAATATGTGGTGCAAGGTACCATCGAACTTCTGGCCAATCAATATAGCATCAAAGTTCAGGTGGAAGACCTCTCTCACTTCCGAAAACTTTTCATGGACACATTCTGTTTCTTCCCATCCTGCCAGGTTGGGGAGCTGGTAATACCAAACCTCATGGCCAATTTTGGGCCTATGTACTTGCAAAATGCGTAGGCTGACCTAGCATCACTTGTTCCTGCAGTAGGAAGACAAAGGATGTACTCTATTGGAGGCACTGGAAACTGAGACCAGTGACAGAGATGCACTCTAGATCCCGTCTCCATCCTGAGTTTTTTCTGCAGTTTTAAGCAGTAGGAAGTAGGAGTTTGTCCTACCGCTCAATTGTGGAGTATCAACAGTTTTCTAACTCACTTATTACCCTTCCCCTTTTGCCAAGCTTATGCTAATGGTGCCTGTCCCATTTGGAGGTTAGAAGGAAAAAAAACAATGAGAAACCTACACTGTAAGCTGTATACTTGTGAAGAAGCATTTAGCAAATAAAATTGTTGAAGTTCCATAGAGCTGGGGATATGTCAGGGGCTTTATGTCAGTGCAAGTACTGTTATAGTTGCATTTGTACCAACTGCAGCTGCTGAACACTAACTCCTTGGTGGCCAAGCTCAGGATCTCAGACTGGTGTTTGAGACTGGCCTCTGATTATAGAGTTCCTCTCACACTTGAGGTGAGTTCTGCTTAATTAGTTGATAGTTCAGCAAGCCCCCCTAGTTTCTCCATATGGCCTATGATCTAATTTAAGGAATAAGTAACTAAAAACGTTAAGCCAGTGCACAATAATTTGCTTACTTACTCATTGAGAAAGCTCTCCTTAGCTGAGTAATTCTGACCATTCCTTCTGCTGTCAAATGTAGATAGAGAAGCTTCTTCTGCCATAGGGATATCATACTTTTGTGTGTTTCTTAATAGTAAGTATTTTGTGGACTTCTGTATGTCAGGAAGCTAGGGAGCTCTGAAAACTATAGAACTGGGAGATATATAGAACTGGGAGATAATCAGACCTCTACAGCCTTCAGAATGACAACTCACCTCCTTTTGCTTTCCGAGTGCCTAGGAATATCCTAATGTTTTGTTTTCTTTTGTACCAGATTTTTTTTTGTTCTTGTTTCTCATCTGTAACCAAATTCTAGTACCTGCTCTTTGGCCTATTTCAAAATCCCTCTGAACTCTTCCCCCAGCATCATAGGTTTTCACCTCATATAATGTGTATTTGGGGGCAACACTATATAATTTACTGACTGCATGCTATTTACATCTTTGTAATATTAGCCAAAAAATGGTAACCTTTAGTGGCAGGGAGATTAAAAATTGCTTGTGGTTACCTGAAAATTTTTTTCATTAAATTTTGTAGTCATTGTTATTCTGAAAAGCTGACCCTTGTGCAAGAAAGGGTGCATGACTTTAGAATACCTGAAGGTTTCTTGACTCTTCCTGTTGTCCCTATTCCTCTTCTACCTCTTGCTGCCATTCCTTTTGCCCTTTATGCTTTTCTTGTTAATCCTTATTTGACTGTTAAATATGTCAGATGAGAAAGACTTTAGTGAGCTTAAGCCTTTTTCATTCTTAGGATTTGCATTGTCACTAGGCTCTGAAAGATCTTTTAGACTCCAAATCAAGTGAAGCTAAGAAGGTAGAGCTCCAGGAGCTTGGCTGGTACTCTGAGTAGGACCTCAACCAGCTTTTATGCATATGGTTCCTACTTGCTGCTTTGGTCCTTGGCCTCTTGGACCAGTCTGGTGCTATGTGAATATTAAGTAATAATAGTTCAAAAGGAGAGGCTTTCCTGTCCCTGTAATCTCATTCTAATTGGGGGCACCACCTCAGGTAAGAAAAGTAGAGAACTACTTTGGAAAACAGTTTGATTCTCTCTTATAATTGATTTGTGGTATTGAGGATCCCAAGGGCACTTTACCACTGAGCAACATCCCCAGCACTTTTTTTTTAGGGAGAGGTACTGGGGTTTGAACTCAGGGGCACTTGACCATTGAGCCACATCCCCAGCCCAATTTTGTATTTTATTTAGAGACAGGGTCTCACACTGAGTTGCTTAGCACCTCACTTTTGCTAAGGCTGGCTTTGAACTCACAGTCCTCCTGCCTCGGCCTCCCAAGCCCCTGGGATTACAGGAGAGTACCATCATGCCCGGCCCAGCACTTTTTTATTTTTGGAACAGGTTCTCCCTAAATTGTGCAGGCTGGCCATGAACTTGTGACCCTCTCACCTCAGCCTTCTAAATTTCTGGGATTACAGTGAGTGCCACAAAGCTACTATCTCCTGTAATTGAATATTCACTTACCCTGTACCCAGTTATTTCATACTAAGGATAAATCCCAGAGAAACTCATACGTGTACACCAGGGCACACGTGAAGGATTTTCAAAGCAGCCTGTTCACAAAAGCAAAAGCCAGGAAATAATCCAAATGTCCATGAAATAAAAGAGTGGGTGAATTAACTGAAATAGCCACACAATGAAATGTTATGTAGTTGTAGCCAGGCAAAGTGGCGCATGCCTGTAATCCCAGTGGCTTGGGAGGCTGAGGCAGGGGGATCATGAATTCAAAGCCAGCCTCAGCAACTTAGCGAGACCCTGTCTCAAAATCAAATTTAAAAAAAAGGGCAAGCAATGTGGCTCAGTTCTTAAGCGCCCCTGGTTTCAATCCCTAGTGCCAAACAAAGAAAAGAAAAATATAGTTGTCAAAATAAAAACAAATGAACTATAGCAGTACTATTATGGTTTGGATATGAGGTGTTCCCCCATAAGCACATGTGATAGACAATGCAAGAATATTCAGAGGTGAAATGGTTAGATTGTGAGAGTGGATTAATGAATTAATTAGTCAGTGGATTAATTCATTTAATAGATGAATACTTTGAAAGAACTACTGTTGGCAAATGGAGCATGACTGGAGGAGGTGGGTCCTGGGGGTGTGCCCTTGGGATTGTATTTTATCCCCTTGTTCCTCCTCTTTTCTGTTCTCCAACTGTCCTGAGGTCCTCTACCACACCCCTCTGCCATGATTCTTCACCTCACCTTAGGCCCAGATCAATGGAGTTCATGGCTGGTCATGAACTGAACCTCTGAAACCATGAGCCAAATTAACTTTGCCTCATCTAAGTTGTTCTTTTTTTTTTTTTTTAAATATTTTCTTAATTGTCAATGTACTTTGTTTATTTATATGCAGTGCTGAGAATTGAATCCAGTGCCTCATACATGCTAGACAAGTAGTCTACCACTGAGCCACAGCTCCAGCCCCTAAGTTGTTCTTTTTTTATTTTTAAGAGAGAGATAATTTTTTAATGTTTGTTTTTTAGTTTTCGGTGGACACAACATCTTTATTTTATTTTTATGTGGTACTGAGGATCGAACCCAGCGCCCCGCACATGCCAGGCAAGAGCGCTGCCGCTTGAGCCACATCCCCAGCCCCCTAAGTTGTTCTTTTCACGCATTTTGGTCACAGCAATGAAGAGTTGACTAATACAGAAATATAATAATATGAATGAATTTTAGCAATAAAACATGAAGCATTGTCCCGCCTCCCACCGACTCCCGGCTGTGCCGGAGTCGGGTGGGTCGGCGGCTATAAAGCTGGTAGCGGAGGGGAAGCGCCGCGTATGGTCTTTCGCGGCTTGGTCTTTTCCTGTGGTCACTACCGGTCACATCTGGCTCTTTCACCATGCCTGGGTCACTTCCTTTGAATGCAGAAGCTTGTTGGGCCAAAAGATGTGGGAATTGTTGCCCTTGAGATCTATTTTCCTTCTCAATATGTTGATCAAGTAGAGTTTGAAAAATATGATGGTGTAGATGCTGGAAAGTATACCATTGGCTTGGGCCAGGCCAGGATGGGCTTCTGCACAGATGGAGAAGATATCAACTCTCTTTGCCTAATTGTGGTTCAGAATCTAATGGAGAGAAATAACCTTTCTTATGATTGCATTGGACGGTTAGAAGTTGGAACAGAGACAATCATTGACAAATCAAAGTCAGTGAAGACTAATTTGATGCAGCTATTTGAGGAGTCTGGGAATACAGATATAGAAGGAATAGATACAACTAATGCGTGCTATGGAGGCACAGCTGCTGTCTTCAATGCTGGATTGAGTTCAGCTCTTGGGATGGACTGTATGCCCTGGTAGTTGCAGGAGATATTGCTATATATGCCACAGGAAATGCCAGACCTACAGGTGGAGTTGGAGCTGTGGCTTTGCTGATTGGGCCAAATGCTCCTTTAATTTTTGACCGAGGGCTTCGTGGAATACATATGCAACATGCCTATGATTTTTACGAGCCCGATATGGTCTCCGAATATCCTATAGTCGATGGAAAACTCTCCATACAATGCTACCTCAGTGCATTAGACCGCTGCTATTCTGTCTACCGCAAAAGATCCATGCCCAGTGGCAGAAAGAGGGAAATGATAAAGATTTTACCTTAAATGATTTTGGCTTCATGATCTTTCACTCACCATATTGTAAACTGGTTCAGAAATCTCTAGCTCGGATGATGCTGAATGACTTCCTTAATGACCAGAACAGAGATAAAAATACTATCTACAGTGGCCTGGAAGCTTTCGGGGATGTTAAATTAGAAGATATTTACTTTGACAGAGATGTGGAAAAGGCATTTATGAAGGCTAGTTCTGAACTCTTTAATCAGAAAACAAAGGCATCTTTGCTGGTATCAAATCAAAATGGAAATATGTATACATCCTCAGTATATGGTTCCCTTGCTTCTGTTCTAGCCCAGTACTCTCCTCAGCAGTTGGCAGGGAAGAGGATAGGAGTGTTCTCTTATGGTTCTGGTTTGGCTGCCACCTTGAACTCTCTTAAAGTTACACAAGATGCCACACCAGGGTCTGCTCTTGATAAACTAACAGCAAGTTTATGTGATCTTAAATCAAGGCTTGACTCAAGAACTTGTGTAGCACCAGATGTCTTTGCTGAAAACATGAAGCTCAGAGAGGACACTCATCACTTGGCCAACTATATATCCCAGTGTTCAATAGATTCACTCTTTGAAGGAACATGGTACCTAGTTAGAGTGAATGAAAAGCATAGAAGAACGTAAGCTCGTCGCTCCAAATGATGACACTTTGGGTGAAGGAGGAGGACTTGTGCATTCAAATACAGCAACTGAGCATATTCCAAGCCCTGCTAAGAAAGTGCCAAGGCTCCCTGCATCAGCAGCAGAACCCGAAGTAGCTGTCATTAGTAATGGGGAACATTAAGATACTCCGTGAACTGCGAGACTTCACAGTGTGTTTGGGTTGGGGTGGGGATAGGGGAATGGTTGGAGGAAGGGAATGTCTAGGGACAATTTTAAAGAATTACACATTGCTTAAATTTTTATGTGACTGACTTAAATTTTTATGTGACTGTTGTGCTCTTTAAGTCTATCTGCCCAATTCGCTAACATACTTCCTGTTGTGGTCTAGCCAATTCTAAATGTACTCGAATGATGTTAAGGGCTCTGTAATCTTTATACCTCTCTGGCCATTTATATACATGAAATTTAGTTTTTAAATGTAGTATGAATCCTGTGCTTCTGTTAGAGGAAAGCAGAGGTACTAGTCTCCAATTTAATTTTTTTTTTTTAGAGAGAGAGAGAGAGAGAGAGAGAGAGAGAGAGAATATTAATATTTATTTATTTTTTAGTTTTTTTCGGTGGACACAACATCTTTGTTTGTATGTGGTGCTGAGGATCGAACCCCGGCCGCATGCATGCCAGGCGAGCACGCTACCGCTTGAGCCACATCCCCAGCCCAATTTTTTTTTAATGTGTAAGAATTTTATACTTTGAACAACAAGATTGTTGAAAGTACCTGTGGTTTTTGAAAATTTTTTCCAGCTTGGGGAATGTGGTCTTAAAATGTGATATGCACAAATACTCTTTGAAAATGGCAAGACAAACATTCTTTTTCTCAGATTTATAAATCCTAGAGAGGCAGAAAAGAGTTAGGACAGTAACACTGGTTCTGGAATATTATCCAGACCAACAGTGACATGTTGTCTGGAATATTATCCAGACCAACAGTGACATTATTGTGATGATCTCTGAACAGAGAGACACTAGCATTGAGCAGGCTTCTGGCATAAAAAGCATGGTCTGTTTGGGAGCTGTCACCATAGCTGCAGGAGCTGAGTGCTCCTGATCAGTTCATGGTGGACTGTGCTCAGCAACATCGAGATGTTATTGGAGGTGTGTATGAGGAAGCTTTTTGTTGCAATCCTTCTTTGCACCTTATTTTAAAGGATACATAAAATATTTCTTTGATGCCTTTTTAAAATTTTAAACTGGAAAGGAAGGTTGGAGCAGGGCATTATTAGGCTAC